CCCCCATTTCTTTTGGGGGTCTTGGTGCTGGGTAGGAGGCAGGAGGCTCAGCTTGCCAGAAAAGCTATTGCAGCAGGTAACTGTATTCTGCCAAGTCAAGAGTGTCATTGCATGTAAATACTCAACCCCTGCTGCTCTTCTGCTTTATTTGCTTCAGGGAGACTGAGGAGGACTCAACTCATGTGGGTTCATGGCGTAAATGATTGACTGCCACACTAAAACCTGATGGGGGGGACAATCCAGTGGGCAAGCAAACGAATGCTCCCTCTGTGATGCCACCGTCCCTGCCTGCTAACGGAATTAGATTAGCTGCCCACATAAGATCCCATTCGTCTTCTGAATGCAAAAGTCATTAGCCATCACAAGAGCAGCTTTCTAATTCGTTAGGCAGATTTGAAACAGCCTGGTCATTGCTGTGAGGAAAGATACAGTAATGTGTACATCAAGTTACGTAGGAAGGATATTTTCCTTTCTTGTTACAACGCTTAACAGCCATTAGGCACAAAGAAACTTCAGGCAAAAAAAAAAAAGTTTCAATAACAATAGATAGCAGTTTAAGGGATTAAAGTCCAATGCCTATCAGTGTCCAAATCCACCCCTATAATGGCGCTGGTTGTGCCCAAGTGATTAAGCATCCAGCAAGTCAGATTGTTTAACCTGAACTTCTGAAGATACCGCCTGTTCAAGCCTCATGACAGGTTTGACTCATTCCAATTAAGGTAATCAAGCCATGCTTGCTGGACAGATGATTTTATTAGACTCCAAAGAAAGTTCCTAGAAGCAGGAAGCGCACCATTTCAGCAAATGGCCACCCACTGCGTCCGACTAATGCAGCTGTGTTTAGTGGGCATCGTGCATATTACCAAGTTCTGGAGAGCCTCTGCAGAATCAAGAGGCAGCATTCTCGGACACTGATAAAATTATGTTGCAAAGAAACAAGGCTCTCTCCTGTCTTATGATTTCCAGTAGGGACACACATAACTAGTCAAACAAAGGACCCTCTCTGTATTTCAAATTAGACTCATAGCGAGCATGATCTTGTGCCGGTTGCGGGTTTGATTGTGCCAGAGTGCAGATTTGTTTCAGCTCTGTTTTTCCCCAGAGCAGCAGTAGCGAGATGAAGGGTTCTCTGTCTGAGACACGTACTGTACACCTCCAGGCAATTCATCTTCTGAAGACCTTTGCACTCCATCTCCACATAGCCAGCCATTTATCAGGTGACACTGAGCAGCTGATATCAGAAGGCTCGTTTGCACATACTCAATGTAATGACGTTTGGCCATTTAAAACTAATTTTTTTAGAACTGGACCACCCAACCTCTGGTGCAATTTGCGTCCGTTTTAGTTATAGAATGGTCCTAAGATGGCAGAAGGTGTGTGCTTCAGAAACAAAAGCAATCAAGTCAGTCCGATTCGATACTACCTGCAAATGCCATGATTGTGGTATGCTTAAAAAAAAAACTACAATGATGTTGAAGGTCATTCTGCTTCCTTCAAAACAATTTGGGGCGAAAATGTTTTCTATCATGCATCTTAAAATGACACCTCCTTGCTCCTCTTGCTAACATGAGGAAACAAAACCAAACCCTTACTTTAGGTACTGGTAAATTTGCGACTACAGTGCAGCATGGGCCGAAGGGTGGCATTCTCACACAGACTACATTGTGCCAACCAATGTCACCCTCAGTAAGACCACCCTGCCTCTCTACCAATCACTGCTCAAGCAATTCAGACACCAAACTGAGACGGCGACTGTTCACCCACTCGGCTCACATAGCTAGCCAGTATAAGGCAGAAAACATCACTTTACCTCTTAAGATGTTGATTACTTTCTTGGCGTGCATCTACAGGGGTTGGGTTCGTTAATTATAAATAGCAACAGAATCCTACCCCAGATGGAAATATTTTGAACTTTACTTCAAGACAGTAATTTTGGGATGCTTTTCATTCCTATGAACTCCTAAGTCAAAATTGCATTAGCAAAAGAAAAAGCACCGCACACTATGAAAAACATTACTGTTACTAACCTGTATTTTCTCATGAACATATAGGCCTTTTTTGGTTCCTCTGGATTTTCTCCAAGAAGGAAAATAACAAATTGTACACTGAGATCAGATTGGTTTTCCCCTACTTCCCCAACAGTATCCCTAGTGTGCTGATTAAACATTACTTGTCTAGCCTCTAGTTAGTATGTAAAAATATCCTTTACTCATATAACTCCAGTATTTTGGGGGTACAGTGCGAGGAAGCAGCAGTGTGTGCCCTGAAAGAAGAGCATAAATCAGAACAGCCAGCCTTTTAGGAACTGAATGAGAGATAGAAAAGCTCAGATACAAAGTGAGAAAAAGGAACATTCAGCTCTCTCCCTTTGGAGAAAAGATAAGGTGTGAAAAGCAATACCTTTGAACAACACACAAAAGCTCCAGGAAATGACAGTGCACAGGGAATTTGGGAGAAGTATGCAAGGAGAAGGAACTCCTGGCATTCCAGAAATCAACTGCACCCTCACCTTCTCACAGAACAGACTGAACCACAGCTTTCAGGAAAAAAAGCTTGATTACCTTCAACAAGATTAACGTGGCAGTTCGAAAGGGCACAATTAACAATATATGCAGTGTGTTGGCCTCATACAAAAACCTCCAGCATCTATGGCTTGATGTCTTTGTGAAGTCTAGCTTGAATAGTTCCCTATTAATCTCCCAAACTTGTCAAGTTTTCTTTTTTCTAGAGGGTTCACCATGAAAAACCACTGTATAAAATACAAAATCTGAAAAATTTAAAAATAAACCCAAATGATTCATGTTCAATCCCATATCCCTTAGTGATTACTGTCACTAAGGCACCAGATACTCAGTTACTTCATTTTGAATCTTCGGGTATCTGTGCCATGCATGAAACAACTTGGGCCAAATGGTTCCAGATTTTCAGTGGTAGGCTAACCCAGCTATATCCTAGGAGACAGCTTGTATTGCTCCTTAGTCTTCTACATTCAGGATGGATTTCACTTAGACTCAAGGACTTTAACAAAGCACTTGAAAAATTGGGAAGGATTACAATGATAGCGGTCTTATGGATATCTCCATCCAAACATGGAGATAAAGTTTTTAGCATGGACTCCACAATATATTTCCAGTGCTTCCAGTTTGCTTCTTAATAGATGGCTGCAAACCACACCGTTGTTACTCATCTCAACCAAAGAACTTTGTGAGCGATGACCTGGATTTCAAGCCGTTACCATACATTCAATGTACCACATGAGTGTATTACCAATAGGTGCATCGGACTGTTCTCTGCTACTCACAAGGCTTCCTAAACCCAGCGGAGAATGCTCCACAAAGCTTTCACTCGGCTATAAGGATTGCCCTTCTGCCAATGCTCTGCTACCCATTTCATTTTCTTCCACTGCAACTCCCTCTCATTCCACCTCCCAGTTCAAGCCCATAACCCTGCCCCTGTTCTCACCAGGCCCCAACAGTCCAGCCCAAGGCATCACAATCACAGTAGTGCTTTTGTTCTCCGTGGGATGTCACATCTACTTTTAAAATATAACCAATAAAAACAAACATGCTCTATAGCCTCACTTGAGTCTTATAGCTGCAACAACTACTGCAAGTATTGCATGTTTTGGTATTGTAATCTGTTCAATCAATGAACAGCTATTGAATAATACATGTGTGGGCTTTACAAAAAAATCTGTAATCAGGATGTTCTGCCATCAGGGTTGTGAAAAGGAACATAAAAAAATTAATCAATTAAAAACATTTGTTTACACTGGGAGAGCTCCAAACACAAACTTTGAGCAAAAATAAAGTCCTAAAAATTTCCAAATTTTCCAAACAGGAAAATAAATGGCACGAAATATTGTGGAACATCTCTAATAAAAACCCTTCCATGTTTCAGCAATTGTTTCTCTCCTGTTGCTCTTTCTACATAGTGTCTTCTGGAGACGGTCAATGTACAGGAGCATATGTGTGAACTAACCAGAACAAAAGCACTGGACTGTGAGTGGGCACGTCCAGGTAGGGGGTAGTTTCTCCTGCTCATGGGCAGGTGCCCACTGCTCTGATTTCCATTTCCCGTTTGCTCAGGAGGGAACTGCAGCTGGCTCTGTGACTCACCAAGATCCTTAGAGCCTTGACTTTCGCTGGCCAGCTCGCCCATCCGCACCAGAGCGTCGAAGTAGCCCTTTGCTGCAAATGTCACACCTGGAAACATGAAGCACTGGGCGTTAGATCAGGATGGTGTGTAAGACAGTGGCTGTTCTTCCAATCCATTCCTTTCAAGGGCCTTTCAATGTCTGTCCATGACTAGGTTCTGTGCTTGCCAATGCTGAACAAATGACAACACAACTGTTTGAAGCTACCCAATAATCTTTGGCAGGGATCCTGCACTGGAATGGACTGAAAGTACCACTGATGCACACTTCTGGTCTAGAGCACTAACACAGTGGGGCAGAGATGGCCAACATTGGATTGCTCATTTTCCTCTCATCTGAGGTGTCAGTTGCTTAATTAAAGCCAATGAAGTACTGAACTGGTCTGGAATCTGAAGTCCTGCAGGTTTTATGGATATTGAGGTCTCCTGTTGGCCACCACTCATTCCAGCATGTTACATTTAACCAATGGTGCTTGTTGGCCAAATAAAGCTTCAAAACTGATATAATGCTAAGAAGTTTTCAGATGCAGCTCTGTTAATCATGATGCTACACCAAAACTCTTATTGCACTGCAGCCTGGTTCATCCTGTTTTTGCCATGGCCTTACAATATTTCAATCCCCATTATCTGACAAGCTCATCTGGAAATAGCTTCAATACATGAAATATTTGCTACGCCTGAGGAATTTGTTCACAATTTATAATAGCATAGTGTCTCTTGGGAATTCAATCAAAGTCCCGAAATTAACATTATGTAGGATTTTGGTATTACTTCTAAAGATTCCTTGTTTACTTTACATTTAGTAGGAAAGAAAGTTAACATTTTTTTCACCGTAGAAAAAAAAAAAGCTTTCACAAATGGGAATCATATAGTCTATTCAATGCAGCAACAAACATTAAAGGATATATACATGTTTTCTCACTCAGTATAACAGCCAGCACAACTTTAAAATTACTGATCCCTACAAGTTTCTGCTAAATGAATAGTGTGCCGTTTTCTAGACTGATGCTTCCCATTTACCATGAACTCCAGTCCAAGAGAACAGGCCTTAAAGCAATTGTATTAGGAATACTAAAAGGCTGGAAACCTTTGTCCAACCCAAACAAACTTTAAAAAGGTGCACAAACTAACCTAACAATACAACTTAAACCACTTCCAGTCTCAAAGAATTTCAGATTTTCCCCACTTGGGGGGAACATGAAGGTCTCCCAGGAATTATAGCTATTATAGATTACATGAAAGTGTTTATGCCTGATCTCTTAAATCAGACAACAGTTATCTTGGAGACGCATACCTATTGTGCTGTGCACTGGAAAATTCCTGCTTAACCACAGGATTACGGAGTTTGCACAAGACATATGCAGGGGAGAGGGTGGGTAGGGTGCAAAAAATATTAAATTCAACTTTGTCAGCTGTAAACTTAAAGAACCAATTTCAGATGTGTGTGATTAACACGAGCTCTTCAAAAGCTTGGTGTTATGAAACAGTTACCTTTATTTTTTTAACTAAGGATCCTGCATAAGAATGTACTTTTTCTGAACTATAGCCAGGTATACTTTTTCCATTACACAGTTCTACAACAAATCTGATCAATAGAGCTTGGGGAAGAGAATATTTTTAAAAAGCACCAGCAAGGTTAAATGTCAAACATCCACCCTTCCCATTTCCATTTACCATTTTGCAATGGGAATATTGACCAGAAAAAAAGGTGAAAATGTTAATAGCTGCTCCAATTAAATAAAGGTCACCAGTGCTCTTTGTATTGCCCACTACGCTCCACTGATAACGCAATGAATGGATCTGAAGTGGCTGGGGTCAATAGGCAGTGCTTCTTGAGAAACAAAAGCAAATCCTCAAAGCAAAACGGAGAGGCTTGGCAGTTGCAGATACCACAAAACCTACAGCATTGTAGGAGCTTGCTTTAGGGGGAGAAACAATCACTAGAATCATACTCACCAAATTGGTCTGTGTAATACAAAACAAACAGAAGCCAAGCATCTCAAATTGTTAATGCACACTGGCAATGAAACAAATACAATTAAGATGTTATTGTTCAACCCCCCTATACTATTCGCAGTTTAATGTTTGTAAACACTGTGTGGGGGAAAAAAACATTGTCGAAATTAGCTCCCTGGTATCGTGCTAAGTGGGAACTGATAGATCAGTTGCAGGGAACTGTAATTTGCTGGTGTCCACAGGCAGCTCCACAACTGAGCACATATTCAAGGGGATTAGCAGCTAAATCTCCTCGCTCTGCTTCCCGAAAGCTCAGGGAGAGGGACTGCAAAGAGGATTAGAGACCTGATACAGAACAGATAGCAAATCTGTAGGCAGGAGCAAGCCATGGGCTCTAGTGCTACTTCCTTTACAGAGAGTGAGGAAAGCCATTATCCTCCACACCTCAGCAGAGGAAACTACCCACCATGCAACAGAGAGCAATCAAACAGCAACCTAAATCATAGACTACAGACTGCAGTGCACTTTTTTTCAGAATAATTTCTTATGGCCACCTGTTACAGGAACTACCAGCTGTTAATCAACTTGGCCTCGATAACACAGCACCTCATCCCTGCACAGTAAGGATAAAGGCCCTGCAAACTCCTCTGCACACTGCACCTTCAGAGTCATACATGTTCTGTTCCACACTATGAGCTCCACAGTGCTTACAGCAGGGAAAGCATCAGCTGGAGGAAAGCAGCAGCTCTTGCAGAGGACGTCACCGAAGATATTTTTGAACGGGTCAATCTGGGTGACACTAGTGGCACTGTCAAGGTTATTCCCTTGAGCAGTGGCAAATGACATGGACCGGAGTCAAACCATCGATATCTGGAATTCGAGACAGAACTCTAACCATTGAGCTGACGAGTACTCTTCTGCTGAAAGCGCCATGAGTACCCTAAGGGGTTCATCACTGCTTTCCAGCATCTCAAAGCCACAGCACATTAACTAATGATCTCCCACAGAAAAACGCACAAGTAAACACTTGAAACTTCCAAAGCCTTGATGAGCACCGTTTTAAAGACATCTCACTTGCAAAGATCATAAGGCTCTCAATCGGGGAAGAACTGTACCAAAAGCTCTTTCTAGTTTCACTGTCCTAATCTACTGCTTAACCCCAATCCCAAGGTAGCTCATTAACAAACTGGATGAATAAGTACTCAAAATAATCTTGATAGCCTTCTCTTCTGGCTTTTCCTGTTGACCACTTAGCTCTGCAAAACCTGTCCTTCCGCCAATGAAAACCTTAACTCACATGACTGAGGATTAGAAATCCTCTCCATCACAGTAGGTACAGTTACAAATCCCTTTGCCTTGTCTGTGCATTACATCAATATTTTCTGATGAAATAAAAGGCTTATTGACGTGTGAGGCACATGAGTACCCAAATAAGCTTTCTACAATACAACATAGAAGACCAGAAAACACTGTGGTTTCAAAGCTAGCTTCATTTTTTCAGTAAACTAAAACCCCCAAACCTGTGACACTGGTGCCTTCAGAAGATTGCTTACAAGTGTTGCATGCACAACTCAAATTTTCAAATAAATAATGCTCTTACCCATCCAGAACCATCATAGAGCTCATAAAGAACACCTCTGAACAATCATGGCACTTTCCAGCAGTTTAATTTTTTTTTCTTTTTTATTTCAATGGAGATGAAGAGTTACTCAGACCTTCTTAGAATACAGAAGTGGCATGTTTATAATGTAACTACAGCACAGGCCCATACTGATTTCATGAAGTGCAGTTCCTACTTTGTCAGAACACTTCTGCTTGTTGAAGAGAAGGTTACAAAAGCAGTTGAAGGGAAATCCTGCATTTTATGTTAAAAAAATGGTTTGGTTATACAATGGCAGTGGCATCTACTGTAGTTATCCTGAATATTGTGCAGAATGAATCTTGTTGGGTTCCTTAGAAAACATACCACAACAAAATACATACCTTCAACACTGTAATTAGACAACATGTATAAGTAAAAAATAAATAAAACCCACTTTTCACCTTGATTGGAGGTTTCCCCATATGAAAGCTGATGGATACATTACCTTAATACAATAGAACTGTAAAAGAATTTAGCTGAATAGTTGCCTCCATTCCTTCATCTCCCTAGAAACTGACCTCTTTCAAGTGTCCTACAAAACCACCTATTTAGAAAGGAAGGCATGTTTTTTTAACTGCACTGAACCTCTCATTTGCAGCACCTGCCCTACTTTGTGTTCCAATTGTCAGTCCTCTGTGTCTCCTGGGTGTCCCAGTGATTCTGTCTGTTTGCCCTTGGGCTTGATCCCTGTACATAACACACTCCTGGCATGGGGCACATGCAATGGAGGGAGAGGGTTAGGAAGGGTCCATTACATTGAGGTCTCTTTGCTCATGTTGGAAGGAGTCACACATCCCACAGAACGCATAATCCGATTATTCAATCTCATTAATTTAGACTAAGTTGTTAGTACTGTAGGTGGAAGAGAATTAGTTTAGAGATTGGGCAAAAACAAATGTAAAAAATAATTAAACGTTTCTAATAATACAATAGTGACTCTCTCCAAATGGTGGCTTAATGACCGAGGATGCCATCAAAATCCAAAAGAGCTGGACATTTTACACAATACCTGAAATGTTAAACAGGTTATATGCTGCAATCAAGGTCACACAAAGGAACACTGCGAGAGCAGTTAACTATCTGAAAATACCTGGTTATCGATTATATTGTTTTTTAAAACAAAGGGTGTCGAACAAAAACAAACCATTGGCAGGCCAGTTGGCCAAGTGCCTGGAAGTCTTCAAGAAATCCGACTGAGAAGAAAAAGATTGATGTACTTACTGGAAAGTGCCTTCTCGTAGCTCTTCCCCATGGCAACAAAGTTCCTCAAGCAGGGGTTGAACTGCTCCATGATGGACTGGAACAGAAATAGCAGGTTTTCCCGTCAGCAGCGGCAGCACCAGACACTCGCTCCTGCATTAGCATAAAGGGACCCGGCAACCCTCCGAGCGCTCGGCTCTCGCGCTGACAAACGCGGAGCAGTGATTCATTCAGAAATCACTCCCACGCTGCACCGGGGGAAGAGAAAAGGGGAGCCTACGCACGGAGAGCCCACCCCCACACTCCTCCACCCCCTCTTGGATATACCACGCACTCCCCCCACCCCGAACACCAAAAACATCTATACAATTCCTGTTGCAGCACTCCTCGCATGCTCACTGCTCAACTTGGTGTGCAGGGCTGCTTAATTGAATTGGTTTTCTAGAGAATGGGGACAGGGAATCAGGATGAAAAAGATGAATAGTGCATGTGAACCAGGAGGAACTGTGGTATAGTAGATCAAGGAGCAGGATGGGGAAGAAGCTAATAATAACTTGCTGGGGCTGTGCACTCCCTGCTATACAGGCAGCAAGAAGAGGGGGGAGGCAGGTATAGGTAGTGAGAGAGAGATGCAGCTATTAAACCTACAGCAAGTGTTGAGAGGTGCAGGACGAGTTCTAGAGATTCTGGAAGCGGGCTGGGTAGTCACTAGCCTGTCAGGTAACAGGCCAGCAGCACCACAAACACCAGGGGAATAAAACTAGATCTTACTTAGGACTGAGCTGGAAAGCAGCCAGAAGACGCCAAAAAAAAAAAGCAACTGAACTAAAACATTCCACACGAAGCCTCCAGTCCCTTCAGGGAAAAAATTCAAAAGAAGACATGTCCAAACACTGCTTCCAGCACCAAACCTTGACTTTGTGTTGCTTTTAATTATGAAGGCCTACAGAGACTGCGCCTGTCCACTCCAGACCAAGATTTGCGTTGTACCCGCTCCCTGCCTCTTCAACAAAACAAGCTATTTAATTATGGTAGCTATGAAGAATGCCACAGAGGCCACCGGATTTTAATTTTTTGGAGCATTAATTGGTACAGTGAGTACAGAACTCAAGTACATAACGTATTACTCACACAGGCTGGGAAGCGAAATGAGTCACTCACTCAACATTCAGTGTTAACCTTTATTCTAGCATAATTGTACGGTTTGTCCACAGAGAGCTCCAGTTTAATCTGATGCCCCCTTGCATCTCCGCTTTCATTTACTGAGGAGGGGAGTTTCTCAGCTGGAAAATTACACATCATAAACAGGCTCATTTATGTGGAGTGCTGCAGCATTAGTGTGGCCTGCACATGCACTGGCCAACTGCAAGGTCACCTTCCTCTTCATCAAACGTTTGCATGAGGTAAAGACCTACAGTAGCTAGGCAAAAAGGGAATGCAGTTGGTTGTGGTTATGGAAAATGAATGTTGTAAAAGACAAAAAAGCCTTGGTGAAGCATATGACACAAAACCTAGCTTGTTTTATATATTGAAGAACAAAAACACAGCCCAGTCTTCCAAAAATAATCGGAGAGGTCTGAAACGAGAGGACATTAAGCCCATCTGATCCAATTTATCTGCAGGTCAAATAGCCATTACTGGAGTTGATACAAACAAATGAGAAAGTATGAGCCCACTTCAAAACTGACCCTTCCCTGACAATTTCAGACATGCCTAACTTGGATGTCTTTCTGATTATGAAAAAGCCAGATCACCCAGAGAAAACCCTTGGCAACACACGCACCACACAAAGACACCATGCTGTCACTGTACATCAATACATATTTTGCAAAAAAGCAAAGTAGAGCAACTTTTTTCCAACCAGCCATATAACATAAAATGAAAATTCATCCTTCCATTTTCAGGAACTGTTTTTATCCTCAGAGAGTCACTAAACTGGAGGATTAGCCAGAAGGCATAGGTCCCAAGGTGGTAATACTACACTGGCGGGACAGCGGTCTATCTCAGGGCGCACACATGCACTGTATGCATTTACTTAGACACGTACGCAGTGAGGAAACCCACACAGTGAACTATTGGATGAATACTAACACTCCAAGTCTCCTAAACTGCTTCAGAAAAGCAGCACCTTGCAACCAAGAACATTGGCTAATTTCCCAAAACAAAACCAGAGAAGTCTGAAGGTAAATGGAACCCGAGGATTGCCAAAACAGGTGACTGGAATGGGAATGCAATCAGATTATGGTTGGGAGCCCAATAGAAATTGAGCCACATTTGCCTCATTGGAGAAAATCATTCACTTCATTTCAAAGCCACAAAAAATGTGAGCTGTTTGTGTTTGCAGTACTGACCAGATTTGTTTTTCCTTGCAGTGAAAGAACTGCAAATCACAATCTGGTGCATACTCCTTGAGAAATGTGGCTGTGTGCTTCACACTCAAGCATTTAACTGAAGGAGCTTAAATGGCAAAAAAAAAGTCAGTCTGTGGCAGTGCTGGGAAGAACACCGATTAACCCACAAATTACTTCTTCCATGTAGCACAAATCCCACCACCTCAATGAGACAGCCTCACCCTCGAAGGGCGATCCCTCTGGCAGAACATCCATATCTACCCCCTCACCACCACCAATGTGTAAGGCTGTTCACACTCACTGCTCTTATGTAAACCCCTGCTTACTAAGAAGCTGGTTGAGGAGGACTAGTCAATCTGATAATGAGCTCTAATGGCCTCAGTGGCTAGAACAAAAGAAAACGCTCAAAAGGTGAACACAGTCCCGGCACTCCAATCAGATTAGAGCTGGAGTGAGGATTTATATGATGGGGGTGCTTGATGCCCTTTAGGGCAGCCAAGGATTTGCAATGTATTTTGAGCCTGGGAGCATCTAAGGTATCAACTGCGCATATTTATGGCTGGGCGAGTCTTCCTAGCTGAGGGAGCTCCAGGTCGCTCCTAAACAACGCATTTCTGTATCTATCTCCACATGTCCACAAACCTGGAATGAGAGAAAGCACAGTGTAGGTTCTCAAGTGTTGTGGATGAATTTGCAAGATGTCATTTCTTAATACCCGGCACACTCCAGCACTCAGTAGCTGTGTGGCCATTCAGAGGGGTGCTCGAGTGCTTCACTTCCTAGCTGCTAATGTGCATTGTCAAGCCCATCATAACCATGCAGCTGCTGTGTATGATAGACAGGAGTTAACGCAGATAATTTTTTCGTGATGTAGGTTAGAGGCTATAATGAGTACAATTAGCATAGAGGATTCATTTTAATCCATATTCAATCAAGGCAGCTTTCTGAAGATGCAGTCAATACTTCCAGTGCAACTAGCATCAACACACTCCAAAACAAATTCATTTGATAGATTAATTGTAAAAAGCTTTTCCTCTTCCATTTTTAGTCCTAAATAAATGGCCAGGTCATGCTTTAAAATGTTTTATTCGTTCTACCCATTAGCCTGGCCAAACACATGAACTTCAGTTGTATTTAATTTTTAACAGCAGAACCGTTCTGCCCACGAGCTGACAATGCCCTGATTAACTGCTTGTTCATCAAAGGTCCTCTGGAGTGGTTTATTAGAGGTGTTAACCCCAGTGGTGGGCTGGCTGTGCGAATCCACGGTAGAATACGGTCTGGCTTCACGGTCATCACCAATTGAACTGGAAATTTCTCACTTTACCTGATTTACAATATGGGCCCTATTGCATATCACTCAGGTAGTTGCTCATTCCTCAATAGTGGATGAAGTGGGTCCCCTCCTACAATATCTGTAAAGGATTTCGGGATATGAAGCACTATGATTGATTTTATATAAATAGACCATACTTGTACATATTCCAAAGTTCAGAAAGTTAAAACGCTTGATCTGACTATGTATTTATGGCATACCGTGCAGAGGATTACTCAGTATTCTCCTATTAATTGACACTTCTTGTATGACTAGGGAGCAGTGGGAACAGTAGAGCAATCATAGGAAAACAAAGGTTTAGCTTGATCAAAAGATTCATAAAGGGGAATCAGGGAAGAACCTAAATAAGGCTTTACACCTGAGAATGAAGATAAAGCATTGACAAATAAAATGCATACGACTTTTTTTTCGCCTGCACGTCAAAGGCACTATCGCATCTCTTCAGAATGAGAGTGCTTCAGAAATGATAAACGTTTCCGAGATGCCGCCTTCTCCTCAAGGAGCCCAAACGTGCCTACACATCGCACCACGCAGTTTTCCCACCTTTTCTCCTGCCCTCTCCCACTCTGTGGCTGCCGCGCCACTGCTGAGATTTTAATTAGGGCTTGGTGTCAGCTCACTGACTAATCACAGAAGGTGGTTTTAATTCAGCTACTGTACCTGCCAGTTTAATACAATAGAATGGAAACAAAATACCCCCAAAACAATTCTTTGACACCTGCCATTCCTCTGGAAATCATGTTTGTCAACTGACAAAACAAAACCCGTTAATTATTTGCTCAAATTAACATTTTATGTTAAAAACTGCATTCTGTACGCAAAAGCAGTCAGGACACACCCTTGCGTTATGATGTTTATGACCTAGGTGTTAGGCGGTATACAGTAACTTCAACAGGACAAGCCAACGGGAATAACAAAGGATCAAGATTCACCTGCTCTCCGCCACCAAAACCTTCACATACCCAGCCATCTATTTTGATGAAGTTCTAACTTGCAAACAGTTCTCTTTATTCAGTGCTCAAGTAGCATTTTCCTATAAATTACAACACACTGTTGACATCCTATTCCAAAAGAATTTAATTTTGAGAATTACCTGAAGTAATGCCTGCAAACTATTCAGCTGTGCAAAATGAGTGCCATGGAGCAGGGAAATATCACCCTTAAAATCCCAAAGAGTACCAATAGCGGTCAACACTAATTCTATGCAGTCATGCGTCTTGCTAATGCAAATCACAGACAAGCAGTGTCCACACCAATAAGATGTACTGTAGGAATATCAGTGGAAATGCATAAGGATTAAATCACATTCCTCCACGGTCTTCACAACAAAAAAGTTTGAACTGGCAGCCCAATTTTATAAAGAGCCTGTATAAATCACAGTGGAAAAATGATTTGCAAGGTCATCTCTAG